ATCTCGGCTGGAGGGACCGGCTCGATTGCATCCTTTGCCAGGAGGACAGCAATTTCTTCGCGCAAGACAGGTGTGTCTCGGTCTGCCACCGAAGTCTCGAGAACGATGGTGAACTTGGGAGGTCGCCTGGCGAACTGAATCGCATAGCCGAGTCAGATTGTGCGAATGAGCCAGCGGGATGTTTGGGCAGAGCAAGCCACACCCCCAAACTCCGTACGAGTGGCACCAAAGGAACAATCGACGCACCCGCGGTGGTGCAGCAGAGGGGAGTCAAGCTGGATAGGCCAGAAGGCATTGCATTCTGTCTGATCACAGCAGAACTCCCCGAGTTCCCAGAGGGTCTGGCCGGAGCAGCGTGGAGAGGCAACGCGTCTCCCAACCGCAGCTTCTTGGCTGCTGGCAATGGGGGGCATCGTGGGCGAGAGTGAGGAAGCGGCACATCGCTCACTGTCAGCCCACGGGCCTGAGAACCCGGAGGAAAAGGAAATTGCTCTTTCTTTGAAAATGTTGAAAATGTGTTAAATTTGTTGAAAATTTGTCAACGTACCCCCTAGAACAGAAACAAACAAAAACTGAAGATTCTCCGCCCGGCCCTCCTCCGGGGGAAGGAGCGATGCTGTCTCCGCCCAGAGCACTCACAGCCGCACTCCTGCGAGAGGCTCAACGCGCTGGCCTTGATGTTGTTTCAGCACGGGGCGGAGCGGCTCTGGAGGATGCAGGAGGGCGCCCACAGTGACGAATAGACTGGGGCTTGGCCCACGGCGCAGCGGTGGCAGATGGTGCATCACACCGGGGCAAGATGTGTTGGATGGCCTCGGCCTGCTTCTGTACTGTCGAGAACTGCTGGGCACAGTCCTCGACGGCGTCGCCGAACAGTCCAGCCTGGGAGACGGGAGCGTCGAGAAAGCGCACTTTGTCGACATTGCTCGTCTCAGCAAGGTTGAGCCATAGATGGCGATCTACCCCTGTAAATGCCCTGGCTTGGTGTACTCGCAGGATAGCCATGGCATGCAGGGCAGAGGCGGCTTGGCCATCAGCTTACAGCTTTGGACGGGGGACGAGGACAATTCATCCCGCCGCGGCGGCCCGGGAAAGCACGGCTGTCAGCTCTGGGACCGATTCGGCAGCGGCGGCAACACTCGAGGGGGGCCGCCCCGCCGAATCTTCATCCTCAGAGGACGATTGCCCATCCCCCGATGCTGCTATCGACATCTGATCCTCTATCGGCGCGCCGAATGAAACGCTGGGCACGCCGTGAGACGTGGAGCCGCACAGAACAGCTGCTGTGGGAGGAGTGACAGGTCCGTGGGGACTGGCCCGGCGCAAAGGCTCTCACTGTAACCCTCAGATCGCCCAGAACACTAACCGATGGCTGTCTGTTCGCGGCAGAGAAGTCAGCGCGGGTAGTGACAGAGGGAGCCCCTCGTATCCCCGTGAGGAGAGAGAGGCGCGATCGCAGCGCTGCCATGGTCACACACTCACAGTGAATGCATGAACCATCCACGAACGCAGCTTCAGCGTGCTGAATTGTGGCTGTCGACAGAGGATAGGAAACGACCGCAACAAAGAGGACACGGCCGGAACGGCGTCTTTAAAAAGACGCGAACCGACCGTGATTTGCTCTTTTAGGAAATCTGCTCTTTTAGTTGAAGTGCCCAGGGGAATCGCTGCAGACAGGGACACCGCTGTTTGCACCGTGACACCAACCAGAACAGCTTCCAGACAGATGATGAATGGCTTTGTGGAGATCAACATGTTCATCCACTCGGCTCCAAAGCAAAAATCTGAGGAGTGGATGCACCTGTCGCCTATTTATCCGTATGCACGGGGAGTGGCTCAGGTATGCAAAATCCACTAGCCAAATTTAATTGGCGTTTTCTCTTAAAGTCAGAGATGATTGGGGCTCCCAAGTGAATCCCCATAATGTCGATCACGACATAACTCGTAGTGACCGACAGATAGGGAACTTACCTATTAGGAGTGCTCTGATGTTTGATTTTCGTATCCCTCTCTTGTCTCCCCTCCCACACCAGTTCAAATGCCGGTCGACGTCAGTGGAGAACACCTTGGAGCAAATCCTCCATACAGTTTTCTTCATGCTTGGCTCGCCACTGATGGATAATCTGTTCACCTTCAACAGGTCAATTTTGACGTAATATTTTAGCATTAAATTGACCTGTATTCTATACACATCCAGTTAAAAGATGGGAACAATTAAGATTTTGTAATTTTTTTTTTTTAAAGAAGCCTCTTATGTTCACCAAAGATGCATTTATTTTATTGAAAATGCAGTATAATTTAATATTATGAATCTATTTATAGGGACTATATTTAACTAAATAAAAATGTAAAAATGTATAGCCTTTCGTGTGTGCTTGAGCATAATTTTTTACATGAAACTGGGCTCTTTAATAACATGCTTAAAGGGGTCATATGATGCTTTTTTAAAGATCATTATTTGGTGTATTTGGTGTAACAGAATATGCTGACATGCTTTAATGTTCAAAAAACACATTATTTTTCAAATACTGTACATTATTGTAGGTCCTCTATGCCCTGCCTCTCTCAAACGCTTCGTTTTCTACAAAGCCCCCTCCTTTGACAAGCGCAGTCTGCTCTGATTGGCCAGCTGACCCAGAGCATTGTGATTGGCCGAACACCGCAAACACTCGTCGGAAATGTAACGCCCCTTACCATAATCGCGAGCTTCATCTTTCAAAATAAACGTAAAGACATACTGCTTCATGTTTTTGTGTAAACCATGGTGCACTGCCATTCAAAATGGTAAGTTTGTGGTAAGTAATAATTCTTGTATTTGTCTAGGAGACATTAAATTGAAAAGTAACAGTAAAGCAGAGTTCCTATACATTTTCCATTTCAAAATTCCATACATTTTCAGGCTCATATTTCTAATTTCAGCATTACGTTTTCTCAAGGTAATAACATACAGAGGCCCTAAAGGGACCTTTGCAAAAAGTAAAAATGTATAGCCTTTCGTGTGTGCTTGAGAATCATTTTTTTACATGAAACTGGGCTCTTTAATAACATGCTTAAATTAACATGAAAAGAAACCTAAAATGCTTATAGCCTGCAAATATTCACCTGTGACACATATTGTAAATGTGGTTTGATGATGCATGACAACCAAACAGCAACGTACAGTCTGATATAGATGATTGTTTGCTCCTTTTTTGTTGCTGGTTTCCTTTATCAGTATCCTTTGCTGTTTTGTAATTGGTGTATTATCACTTTTATCACTCTACTGTTCCATGCCATTGGAATGGAAACTTAGTTCTGTGTAGTATTTCTGCATTCCAGTATCCCTATACTAATATTACAATTTCTAAAAAATTAGTACATGATTTATTTCTTGTTGTTTTCTTGGTCGTGCGCCATTGGTTTTTGGACCCTCATGATTGCCCTATTGTGGTATTATATGTAATTATCACTTTTCAAAATGACCATAATTCCAAAGAAAGATTTTTTTTTTTACATTATAACAATTAACAAAGAATTAACATAATGAATATTATGCAGTTAGTAAATGTAATGTTCACTACTTTGTTGTTGTTGTTATTATTATTATTATATACTTGCACACACGCCCACCCCTCAAAAGGCTGAAACCACAGAGCCCCCACAACATAACATCCGATTTTAACCCCTGCAAATCAGCGTTATTTCTAATTTTCAAATTTTAAAAATAACTGCTTAATATTGTAATATTTCAGAGTATTACTGTTTCTGTTGTATTTTTCATAAATAATTTTATATATTAGCAAATAAATGGAGTGAGGATTAGAGACTTCTTTCAACAACATTTCAACTTAATCATTCCATGCTTTTGACTGGTAGTGTGTAAACATGCACACACATGTTAGCATACAAACAGTTTGTTTACATTTTGTTGGTAGTTGTAGGTTTGACAGTTTCAGTGATTCTTACCATTCTCTGCATAAACCCTCTGTCTGATAATCTTTGTTCCAGCCTATCTAGGTCTGCAGTAGATGCTAGAGGAAAAACACACTCTTCCTCTTCAGCCATCTGTATTTGGGGTACAACACGCCTGTCCCCCACTAGAGACTGAACCAATGAAGTCAGATGGTGGATCTTCATGTCCATTTTCTCTAGTGTTTCCAGAATTGCCCTTTCTACAGCTGCAATACAGAAGATCATTTAATTTGGTATGTAGCTTTGATGAATGAAATGATGCATTTTGCAACTTATTTAAATTAATAAATAATGTACGTGTACATTGATTTGGTACAGTACTGAGGAACTCAATGCGAGGGTTAATTAAGTGATTGATGGTTGTTCAGGTCCATGCAATTGTACATATTGCTATAAACTTGGGATCTCACATTTTCATTCTCTTAAACTCATTCTTTCCTTACTTTCTATCTTCCTGCAACTTGTGTGAATGTGATAGTGCGTGTGTTTATGTGTTATACTAGTTTATCCAATAAAGTTTTATTGATATTGAAAAGAGAAGTATCTTGTGTTTTGTGCTTACAAGTTAATGTCTTAAACTGCCGATCTTGCTACTGTGCTAATGAATAGTGTGTATTACTGCTGTGCTGCTGGGAAATGTCAACGCATCAACAGGTGTTGACATTTCCCAACAGCACAGCAGTAATACCTTTATGAACTACTTTAACCTTGGGTTATGTTTGTTTTCTTCTAAAAGAGACAAAAAGTAATCAGATCTAGCAGTTTTTAATGCTTTTCTGTAGGATAGGTTACTTTCCCGCCAAGCAATGCGAAATACCTCTAGTTTTGTTTTCCTCCAGCTGCGCTCCATTTTCCGGGCTGCTCTCTTTAGGGTGCGAGTGTGCT